AACTACCCAGCCATCCCTCTATCTTAACCTCTAGCCCCCTTTAACATTTTTAAAAGTGTCTAAGTGAAACCTCTGGAATGGTTTTGTAATTCATATCAAGTCTACATAAATGTGCACTAATGATAGTTAATTTGCCTAAGTTAGAGTATTAATTATAATGTGGCTACTTAGTGAAGGGGTGGATCTTGCTGTGGTCATTCCAAGGTCTCTCATATATTTAAACCAGGTTAGACTTGGGAAAGTGACTGAGTTTTACAATTGTATTTTGTAATCATTGTGTAGAACATTTGAGACAGCTTGTCCTTTCAAGGGTCTTTCGCACACATTGTCAGCTGAGAGTCACATTGTCTCCATGGGGTTGATAGTGTGTGTCTCCTTCCTCTCCTGGGCAAGGAACCTGGGGACTTAGCATAGGAGTAATTGCTAGAGATGAGTCACAGCAGAGTCTGCCTACAGTGTAGACCAGAGGAGCAGGTGCTGTCCTCTGGACAAGGGTCATGCCACATCAGAGGTAACACACTCAGAAAGCTATTCCTCAATTGTAGTTGTCTGTAAAATAGAAGTAGCAGGAAGCCACCACCACAGACCTGTGGAACTTAGGCATATTTCCACTGAACTTCCCTACTCTAAGTGGTCAAACTTAAAGGTAAAGGGCCACAAGATGAGTGCTTCTTGTTTACCAGCACCTGCTCTGGGGCCAGGTAGTGTCCACTGCCAGCCTTTCCCACCCCCATGTATTGTACACTGGTTAGCTGTTGACTCCACTTCTGTAGGTGTCCCCAGGAGGCTCAAGAGTCTTGCTATAAGACATTGGCCTGTCCCTGCAGTACTTTGCTGGGAAATCCCATTCAGGTTGGAGCATAGGGCCTGGAGTAATTGGGCTGTATTGGACTGGCCTGTTCAGTGGAGAAATTGAGCTGCTATGCTACAAGTGCCTGTAGCTGGTGGGATAAAGATGAGCACAGAGCACAAGCCTTGACCCCTGACTTGAAAGGTAGAGCTCTACTGGGACATCAGTGGGGAGTGTCCAGAGTGGTCCCTAGATCTGCCTAGCAGCATGTGATGGAAGCTCCTCTGAGGCTTTAACTATCCAGTGAGTCTCTAAAGCACAGTGATGACAAAAGACATTTCCTCCTGCTGTCTCTGCTCATTTCCTACGTGCTGTGAGATTTCCAGGTCAGTCAGCAATTTTCTAGTGAGTTGAATCAACAGTCATGCATCCCAAAAGGATGGAGGAGATGTGTATGTGTGCAGAATGTGGCAGCGATTGAAGAGTCAGAGCATCATAATGCTCACATCAGGACAGCTACCACAGACAGTGACTGTGGCCCTGGGACCACAGTCCTACAGTAGTCCATTGCTGACCAGGTGTCACTATGTGATGGGGCTATATTCACTTATTCATATCTTACTTGGAAAAAGACACAGAACAGGAAGATTAGAAAATGTTCTTGCCAGGCAATGGTGCACATGCCTTTGATCTGAGCACATGGGAGGCAGATCTCCTGCAGTGGCAGGAAGATCTCTGTGAGTTTGAGGCCAGCTTGGTCTACACAATGAATTCCAGGACAGCCAGGGCTACACAGAGAAACCGTGCCTTGAAAAACTAATAACTTAGGACCCTTGTGCTTCGGTTTCCTTGTCAGGTAGAGATGATACTAGTAGCTACCTCACAGGGAACAATTGCGTTCTGTGAATGAATGGCAACCATAATGTCATGTAATACACCTGGAAATACATGTTATGAACATAGTGTGGTCACCCTTGGGAATGACAGGAGAAGGGACCTCGGTGCTAGCCATGGGAAAGGAATTCCTGACAATTTCCTGGAAGTGATCCCAGAGCACCCTGGGTAGATGGGAGAGATGAAGAGGGAGCGTTTTCACGGCAGCTGCATGAATGTCTGGGAGTACTCAGCATAGCTTCAGTTTGTTTGTTCATTCACCTAGTCCTTGATCTGCACTGCCATTCAAGTCAGACTGGGCCGAAGGGTTACAGTAGAGCAAACTACATCTGAGCAGAAGCCACTGCAGACAGGAATTCCTTCTGGTCAGTCACCAGAAGCCAGCTGTTAACCTGCCGAGGGCAGTAGAGTAGGATTGCATGGCACAGAGCTGCCTGTTAGGTTCACATTCTGGCCCTGCCCCTTTATCCTCATGCGCCTTGGGCAAGTATAAGCCTCAGATACAAGATACTCCCATACGTTGTCAGCTGTGGGTGCACAGAGCTGCTCAGGGTGCTGCTGTGAGTCTAGAGGGTTCAGTCCCTAACGTTAGAGCGTGGCTCACAAGCTTTCTGAGGATCAGTGTCCCCACACAGGGATGTACATAGCTGTCCTGAGTATGCATCCCTCATCCTTCCTCATCCATCCTAGGTCCCTTCCTTATAGGACCTTGTCCTGATCCCTGTCTGACCACAACACTTGTCCTTACACCTGGAATGGCTTGTTCTCCGGTTGCATTCTCACTGGCTGGCCTGTAACCATCATAATGATAAACTGTCATTCACATCCCCTTTACATATAGTTCACAGTGTTCCCCAATTGAATCAATGAATGAACAAATCAATTACTGCATTGGGAAAGTCATTCAAGAAACTGCTGCTATTGTTAAGGTGTCTTCCTAAATTTGATTGCATGGTCAGTGGTTTAATGTTTGAGGTCCTCTGAACACATGGTGGGTGCTTTTTGCCATACTGGGCAGGTATCTGGGTGTCCAGGTGGAAGCTACTTGTATTTACTTACTAGTTGGATTTTTTTTTTAAAGCTGTGATTTGTTCTCAGGGCTTCTCAGCAGGAGCCTGGAAGCTGACATTCTTGATGGCAGATGTGCACAGACCTCACAGGCAGCTTGAGCATTAAAGACCGTGTGTCACTATGCACATTAAATTCATTTCAGCATTGTTACCTGGCTCAATCTGTTGTCCCAGCCATACCCCAGTATAAACCACAAACCAGGCAGCCTTTAGGAAACAGGTTGGAAACCCAGAAATACCTCTAGAAGTTTGTAACATTTTTGAGATCCTTAAAAAAAAAAAAAAAAATCTTGGTGGCTCCAAAGGCAGCTCCCTCCCTCTGCCGAGAAGTCTGTCTCCAGCGCCTTTGCTTCTGAGGCGGTAGCTTTCAGAAAGACTGCAATGCAGCGGTTAGCAAACCCTGTTAATATGGAAGCCACCGCTCCCCTTCAGACTGCTGCTTGCTGCCTGTGAGCTGAGGAGATGGTGGGTCTAATATGTCCTAGGACCCTCCATTCTGTGATTAGATGGAGGCAATTTTGTGAGTGCTTTGGCTAGCACAGGCTTGTCCTGCAGCAGCTCTTAGTTTCTGGTGCAGTGGGCTTTCCTCGGAATGTGAAACTGAAGATGCCTTTGCAGTTTGTGCCTGATAATTTGGTTTTCTCTGTGAGTTCAGATGGTGGGTTATATACAAAGGTAAGGGACTTTAAAAAGAATGCATTGATGTGTTTTAAGTATTTATGAATATCCAAAATCAAAGTAGATGATGATTTGAATATATCTCCACTGAATCTAAGAAATAAAACTTTGTATCTTGTTATGCTGTTATGACATTTGAAGAATTGTCATATTTATCATGAACTAATGTCCTGTAATGAATTACTCAAGATATTCTTTGAAAGGATTTGCTTTTCCTTTGCCTTTCTAATAAACAAGCTGAATCGTAGAAATGGTGATGTGGATTATAACATTTGTTCCTTTTAAACAATGACAATTCATTGACCTGGCATAAGATATTTCATTTTTCTAGCATAAGCTATATCATCAGCCATATGATGATAGATGATGAAGTCCGGTTCCCTGAGTTCTTATTTTCTCACAGATGAAAATCCTCAGATGAGCATTTTTTTAAGTGTGGAGTTCTGTGCTTATGCATGGGGTGAGCTGGGTACTACCTTCAGCTGGTCCTCTTTGTTTATCTAAGAGGGAGGCTAAATCCAAACTCAGATTGGTTTTGCTATAAATTGGTGGCCCTACAATGCGTTGAATGCTTCATGGTTGTTAATTTTATATGTCCAATGCCAAGAAATATAATGTCAGGGTTACCATGGCAACTGCATGTGTTCTGAAAAGCTTGTGAATGGGCTCTGAGTCTCCTGGCATTTTAACTGAGATTTTCCAGCTGAGAGCCTGCATACATGATCAGTGTAAATACACTCAGCTTTCTATGGAAAGCACGTTCTGTCTCTGTGCTTACCCGAGTTGGCTCCTGTTCAGCTCTTTCTACCTTGCCTCTTGGTTCCTGGTCACAGGCTACGGTTCAGAGATGGTTTCAGCCAGAGGTTGGGGAGCCATCTCACACGGTCAGCCGGTGGCCCATGTAGAATGGGACTGACAATGTGTGGTAATCCCCCATCCTGACTGTACTTGTTGCTTCATGTCCTGGTGTGATGTGGTGTCTAGGTGGAGCTTTCTGTCCATGTGAAGAACTTTTTTCTGGAAGTTTCCAGGCTCCAGAGCCTGACTTCCTCTAGCTTAGAAGTTGTGGTGGTTGGTTTTGGGAAGGGGTCCCAGTGATCAAGATTGTGAAAATTATAAAGGAGGGCCCATGGCTTCATTATCAAGGGATTTCTGGCAACATTTATAGCTATTGCATTCCCTAAGCTGAGTGTGGTGGTGCCACACCTTCAGTCCCAGCACTCAGGAGGCAGAGGCAGTCAGATCTCAGAGTTCAAGGCTAGCCTGGTCTATATAGTAAGTTCCAAGCCAGCCACAGCTGCAAATCACTCTCAGACAACAGAAAGCCAGGCTTCGGTAGACAATTAAACTACATTGCAGTAGTTTTGGAGACAGCGTCTTGCTTTAAAGCCGGTAGTGTGTTTGAACTTATTGTGTATACCCATCTGGCTTAGAACTCAGAATTATATGGTGTAACATTAATCTGAAGGTAGGTTGTTCTTTGAGTTACCCATTAGTGGGTGTATTGTTGTGGCTTACTTATGAGCCTCATTTAGGAATTTTGTCTAATTCTATCCCTTTATTTTCAGATGAAGAAACTGAGGCGCAAAGAAGTTATCCACTTGGTTGAGGTCCCAGAATAGATCAGAACCAGGTCCTCTGTCAGAAACCTGCCCCTGGATCCTGGCTGGCTGTCTGATCCCCTGAGGTTCATTTCCTGACAGACAAGGTTTGCTCTCAGCTAATACTTTTTTGTTTTCCTTTTTTCAGAAAGGGGGTCTTTTCATAATTTCAGGTCTCTAACTTAGAGCTGTCAATTAAAAAGTTAAAGTTCATCTTTTATGAACTTCTGCTTAGTTGGGGGGGAATAGGGAGGTGTATGCAGTTGTATGTACCCAGACATGCCCAGAGGAGGATGCCATCTGTCTTTCTCCATCACCCTCTGCTTTATTCTCTGGTCATGGTGTCTCTTACTGAACCCGAAACTCTGCATTTTAGCCAGGCTGGCGGGCGAGCAAGCTCTGGAATTTGCCAATGTTACAGGCATGTGTGCGCATGCCCAATTTTTTATGTGGGTACTGAGGATTCAAACCCAGATCCTCATGCGGGCATAGCAAGCACTCTTACCCATTGAGCCATCTCCCCAGCCCAGAGATCCTTTCAACAAACACATTCACCTAATCACTTATAAAGCTCTGTGTACATGTCCTACACTTACACACACACACACACACACACACACACACACACACACACACACACCATATTCTTCATGATTTAATACTGAGCCACTTTTTAAGCATTTATTTTTTTTCTTACTCCATTTACCTGTGTCTGTTTTCAAATCTGAGGATTAGAGAAAATGCTTAATTTCTTTCTACCTTTTAGATTATGACATAAATGTCCTCTTGGGGAGGTCTTCTCTATAACACTATGCAGAGGAGTCACTGGTCTATATATTGTATATCTCCTGTCTTAGGGTTTGTTTGTTTGTTTGTTTTGTTTTGTTTTTTTTGAGACAGGGTTTCTCTGTAGCTTAGGAGCCTGTCCTGGAACTCTGTAGACCAGGCTGACCTTGAACTCACAGAGATCCACCTGCCTCTGTGCCCTAGTGCTGGGATTAAAGGCATACACCACCACCGTCTGGCATACCTTAGGGTTTCTGTCGCTGTGAAGATACACCATGACCACTGAAAATGTCTGTCTGTCTGTCTGTCATGCAGTGTTCTGCAGGCCAGAAGAGGGCACCATATCTTACTGTGGATGGTTGTGAGCCACCATGTGGTTGCTGGGAATTGAACTCAGGACCTGTGGAAGAGTAGCCAGTGCTCTTAACCGCTGAACCATCTCTCTAGCCCTGACTATAAATCTTATAAGGGAAAACATTTAATTGGGTAGCTTACAGTTCAGAGGTTTAGTCCATTACCATCATGTCAGGACATGGCAGCATGCAGGCAGACATGGTCCTGGAGAAGGAGCTGAGAAATACACATCTTGCTTATCAGGCAACAGGAAGTGATCTGAGTGACACATTGACCAAAGCTTGAGCAAAGGAAACTTCAAAGCACACCCCCATAGTGACACACTTCCTCCAAGACCACACCTGCTCCAACAAAGCTAAACCTCCAAATAGTGCACTCCTTATGGTGCAAGCATCAAACACATGAGTCTGTGATGGTGATGCCTAATTCAAACCACCACATCTGCCTTTGGTAGTTTTCATGTCTTACACATGGGGACTGGGCTATACCCTTCTTAGCCTGACAGTTGCTGAATGCAGGGCCTCTCTTCTTATCCTCAGCTCCTTCGTTGTGTCCCATTACGGACAGCAGATAAATTAGGCTGGTTTGATGTCTGTGTTAACCTTTATTTATAAGATTCCCTCAGAGGTTTTTAGGTTCAGCCAAGATATCTTTTCTCCATGGCCATCTTTACCAGTTTTTCAAACTATGGTTTACTTCCATTTTCTTCCTCCTTCTGGAATAAATGACCTTTTATGTCCTGAGTGGGCCCTTCCTCATTACTCTTTCCTTGTGTTTGCATTTAAATACAGAGCTGGAAAGAATGAAGTAAGTTTTTTCTTTTGACACTCTGACTTGTAGGCGGCCCTCTTAAGCTTGTTTCCCTCTAATGCTAGAGCAGGGGAAGTGTGGGCTCACAAACAGTGTGAGGGGCTCGCCGCTGGTGTGTGCCATGCTCACCAGCCTGCCCGTGAAAGGTGGGATTGGTCTTGGCCACAGCACTGCTTGTGCCAGCTGTTCGCCAGCTATGCCATGCGCACCGGGTCTTTCTCAGACGTCCTGAGTAACTGTCTAACCTGTCTTCAAAGCTTTCCCTTCATATTTTCTCAAAATTTATTAAAGTAACTATTTTATGTATGAAAGGAATGTTGACGGTATTTGACAGCTTGTTTGGAGGTCCTAGCAGGGGAGTGCAGCTACTCATACACCCTTGACCGAAGACCGCTCCTCCTCTGTTTGGGGAAGGTCGTCCTCTTCAACAGTGGCAGCTTCGGGAGGGACGTGCACATGGAGCGGTGAGGGAGGAAGGGGACACCTGCCTAGCTAGTCAGATCAGCAGACTCAACCCTGGTGATCAATGGAGTGACAGATGTCACAGCCAGATCGCCCTCACAGGAATGTTGACAATATTTGAAAACTTTCTAAAACTTTTTTTTTTTCGAGACAATATTTCTCCATAGCTTTGGAGGCTGTCTTGGAACTTGCTCAGACCCGGCTGGTCTCGAACTCACAGAGATCTGCCTGCCTCTGCCTCCTGAGTGTTGGGATTAAAGTCTGAAGACTTCTTTTGCATTATGCCCTAGAAAAGAAAAAAAAAATGATGTAGAAAATTTGTGGGAATTGGGTAAAAGTTCCTTGTTCCTTCAGTGGAGTTAAAAGTTGGGAAAATTTGGGAAATGAGATGGCTGATTCAGATGTACAGTTATTCTCTAAGTATGTCAGTCCATTTGCTTATGGTTGAAATGCTGTGCTTGGAGATTGGGCACCGAGACCTTCACTGTTCAGTAAGTTGACTTGGTGTCAGTGCGTCACATGGCTGTTTGGTGTTCCTCATATTCTATTATAAACTATTACCTGCGGTGGTTTGAATAGGAATGGCCCCACAGACTCATCATACTTGAATGCTTAGTCACTATTTGAAAGACTTACAAGGATTCGGAGGTGTGCTTATTGGAGGAGAATGTCACTGGGACTGGGCTTTGAGGTTTCAAAAGCTCACACCAGACCCAGTCTCTTCTCTCTCTCTCTCTCTCCCTCTCTCTCTCTCTCTCTCCCCTTCCTCTCCCTTCCTTTCTCTCGCTCTCCCTCCCTCCCTCCCTCCCTCCCTCCCTCCCTCCCTCCCTCCCTCCCAATCAGGATGAGGCTCTTAGCTGCTTCTCCAGCCCCATGCCTGCCATGCCTGCTGCCATGATGATAATTACCTAAGCCTCTGAGACTGTAAGCCAGCCCCTAGTTAAATGCTTCTGAGTTGCCATGGTCATGTCCCCTTCATTGTGTGAATATATTTCATGGTTATAGGAAAGTTTGACTTCTCTTAACACTGTCCTCTACAAAGTGTTTTTTTTTTTTTTTTAACTAATGTATATCCATTTGATGATTGCCTTTGATTGATAGGGTGGGAACATACACATCCATATGTGACTATTGATTGCAAATAATGGGAGCATTCTCTGTTTCCCAGACATCGCTAAGAAGAAAACATTAATAATTCTTGTCAGCCTTGGTCTAATTCTACTTAATGGGAGACTTATTCCTGCAGACTTCTGTTTGTACTATGATGGAATAATGGGACTAGATCTCTGCCAGTTTCAGGGAGGCAAATAATACAGAATTTAAGGGGGCACCAAGAATGTTGGTAATTGCCAGGTGTTGGTGGTGCACGCCTTTAGTCCCAGTACTTAGGAGGCAGAGGCAGGTGGATCCCTGTGAGTTTGAGGCCAGCCTGGTATACAGAGTGAGTGGCAGGACAGACTCCAAAGCTACAGAGAAACCCTGCCTCGAAAAACCAAAAAAAAAAAAAAAAAAAAAAAAAAAAAAAAAAGAGAGGAATGTTGGTAGTTGAGATAACAATATTTTAATTTAATAATTTAAAAAGTGAAATGAAATGTGTGGTAAAAATTAAAATTGTAGAGAAAGGTAATTAATACTGGTATTGATTGTTTATCCTCACATAGCACTGTGACTGGTGGGTGCTATGTATAAATTTTGTCTGTTGTTCCTTAGTGTCTTCCCCATTAATTTTGATGTCCTCTATACTATACTTTCCCCATATTCCCTTAAAATTTGTGCCTGAGGAAGATCTTCTACTTCACCTGAATACAGAATAGACCATCTTAAACAACTTAGAACCCAGGCAGAATATGTAAAACAATTTTAAGATACTGTGCAGGATAGAATAGGCCTTTGTCCCCTGAAGGGGGCCAGGCAGACCGGCTGTGCAGCACCTAGTTCCTCCCTGGAGCAGGTGCACACGCTGGCCTTGTCTGATCTCTTGGTCTCTGTCATGACCACTCTGCTGCCACTTGTGCTAGAGTGTAGTGGACAAGTACAGATCTGTTCCACAAATCTTCACTATAAAAGCAGCAGGTTGGATTTGGCCTTTGGGTAGCTTTCTACCTGATGCAGAGGCAGACTCCACACCCGAGGTAAAGGGAGAACAGCCAGAGCCCAGCAGTCTCGTCTAAGTGACAAAGCTGAGCAAATCTTGGGGAAGGGAAGCTACTTACAACTGCAGGGGTCTGCACAGGACCCAAAGGCTTGCCTGGCTTGTCACATATTGTGACATGTGCAGCACACATACCTCAGAACCAGAAAAGCCCTTAGAAAGAGCAGTCTGTCACATAAGGCTGGGAATATGTCCTTAGAGGGTTTCCTGTTTATTGTTAGGGTGTGGAGCAACTTTTCACCTAGGGTGATCGGTAGCTAGCTCAGAGGGGTATAACCTTTAGGAGGCTGTAGCCCAAAGTAAGTTGCTTCAGATTTTCTCTAGCCAAGTCTAGGTAATTTATAGTCTAAGAATATAGCTCAGAAGCTTGTAAAGGTACATTAAGGGCTGGGGCACAATGGGAGAGAGTGCTTAGTGTAGGCAGGAAAACTCAGCAAGAACAAACATCAGCTTATCATATTAGAGGGCGTAGCAAATTTTCATGTTATTGGGGCAAGGAGTATAGCTCACTGGTACAGTGCTTATCCAGTGTTCGTGAGGACC